TTACTCGAAATTTCAGCCTGCCTGTTTCCTGGCAGATTGAGACATTTTAGTGGCCAGATATTTTCCAGATAATCATTGTTTGAATTGCAAGTAGGTAAGTGCATTGTCAAAAGGGATTCCACCCAATCCCTTCCTTACAATGGTTGCAAGATGCACGCTAAGTAAAAACTCAAGCCAACTGAAACTGGGGAAGGAGGGGTGTTGTCCAGAAGTGCAGCCTCACCAGTGGTAATCACAGGTTGGAAATAAGACATGCCAATGTGTAGCTTTCTGTGCACTATCTTAACAAGTTTCGACAGAGAGAAAGGTCAGAGCCGTAGAAATTAGATTGCAGTACAACACTAAAATTATCTGTAAACCGATCTCAATCTTTTGGTCTTATAAGATTTTAGTAAAGTGGCTATGACCAAGTGAAATGAATGCCAATTCATTTGAGACCTTTGTGGTTGTTAAGCAAATGTTTCATAATTTCATGATTCAAAACTGTTTCAAAGTGCTCGCAAGGATTGTAAACGACTCATTGTTGGAGGCTGTTTCTGAATCTCAAGCAAGACTGCATTTATTGACAATAAAAGAAGTAATTAGTCATTCGATTGTGTGCTCTTATGCTTAGTGAGGATTGTTTTTTCCCTAACCTATTACTTTTGACAAAGTCTCCTACTGGGAAACTAAACCATTCATTCAACTTTAATGTGATTGGCCATTTGTACAAATTGTACTACCTTCACTGAAATAGTATATTTGATACATTACATACACCAATCACATTACTGACTAGCTTTAAGGAGTTATGTAGATAAACACTCCTGCATGGAATTGGGGCGGGGGAAGGGGTGAGAAAAGGGTCCAGTAGAAGAGGGTCTTCCAGTGTGGGAATGCCATCCCTTCACAGATAATGAATGATAATAAGGCCCTGTGATAATGAGCACTACCACAGCGTAACCAATGACTTCAGTTTCTGCAGAGCTGGAGGTTTCATGCAAGTTTGGTCACAGTTTCCAAGTTGCATTAAGCAGTTGTGATGAGTACTGAGAGCATGCTGAACATGTCTTGAAGTTTCTAGCTCCTTTCTTTCGAAACATTGCTTTTAAAAAAAAGTTATATTTAAGATTGACATATTCATCTTCAAAGCTTTTACCATACTGAGATGTGTAAAAATAATGCTGATTTTACAATCACTTTAATGGCAATGCCTTGTGACAAAATTACTCTAGGTAATATAAAAATATTTTATGTTGCTGCTTTTACATGTTGCTGATGTTTCTCATCTTGCATCATCAGGGCAAATGCAAGAATGCCATATTTCAACGTCACAACAAATTAGTCAAGCTATGTTGTTGATAATTCGAACTTGGTCCTTTGACCTGATGAACACAAAGTGAAAAGCTTCAGCAACAATTTTCTTGTATCTGCAATGGTCATGTTCTTCTGTGAATGACCAAGTTACTGTCAATACATTTATGAGTAATTCTCCAATGGACTTCCAGCTTCAAGTCCTGTGGGTACAAACACCAGCCTCTAAAGACAGTTTAAATTCATTCTTCTACAGTGTCCTAAATTTTCTGCTGTTCTCTCTCAGGTCAATTATCAGAATGCTATGCAGCAACGTGAGCGTTGTTCCTGACTGTACCTGTTCTGATGAAATGTCACTCAACCTGAAACATTGACTCTGTTTCCCATGCTATCTAATGTGCTGAATTTTTCCAAAATGTTCTGCTTTTGTTGCAGACTTCCAGCTTTCACAATATTTTACATTTGTATTAATATTATTTCTTTAGTCAGCAGATACTCATGCTCTCATTGAGATAAATGAAGTTTCAGCTTTTCGTCTGAGCTGGAAATCTGTAAAACTGAACAACAATTTTCAATTATCTACCTCCGTAGACATTCTAAAGCATTCTGTGGTGTTTCGTAGGCAGTATTATCAAACAGAATTTGAAACCATAAGATAATATGAGTGCAAGTGACTGACTATTTTAGCTAAATACATTGGTTTTATGAAGTGTCTTTAAGAGGGAGAGAGAGGGAATGCAAGAGCTTAGAACCTAGATAGTTAACACTGAGAACTTCAGAAAAAACACTGCAATTAATAGCCATTAATTTCCGTGTATAAGAACAGCTCCAGAGCACATCCTTAGTGTGTCTGAGATAAGAACCAAGGTCTGTAGCATTTACACAACTGTTGATCTCTGACCTTCTGCAATTTGTTCATGTACCTGTGCTGGATGGATCAGTACAATGGCACGCCTGTTGCCTGGCAGCACAGATCAAAAGTAAACTTTATTGTTCCTTGTGGTATTTGTGTACTATCTGTGACATCGATAAAATCCATAACAGGAGCGCAGGCTGAAACCATTCTGGCAAGGTTTGTCATTTTGAATGATATTGTGGTGGGGTAGGTGTAAGGTGGCTCACCTGCCCTTGGGGCAATTGAGACCCTGACATGGTCAATTACCATCACTAGTATTTTAATCAATGGGACAAGCTGTCTATTCCACTTGGCAAGGCTACCAGGTAAATACTAACTGGGCGAGGGGAGGATGTGGGGTTTGGTGGTGGGCACAATAGGTGGGTCCTGTTTGGGCTCCCTATGGCTAACAGGAGCACCAACAATGGTAATCCCAGGCCTCACCTGTTCACTCCATTCTGGCCGCTAAATAGTTGCCACCATCCCCTCCCTGAGTCTCCTTGCTGGAGCATGCCTCACCGGCCCTGACACAACCAGACCATTTGCCATGATGTGTCTGACCTTTCAATGATGGATCTTTGAGGTGGGCTGGACGTTGGTCCTAGTAGTGGTCACCACTCCCAGGAATTCCACCGGCACTGGAGCGATCTGAGGGGGTGCAGATGTCCTCCTGGGTGGGGCAGCTGGAAAGCCAAGCCAGGGCGGGGAGCTTAGTCCTGAATTTTCAGCTATGGAGGTATTGTGTAGGGGCCAACTATGTCTGTGAAAAATTCCTGTTGTGAATTCAGAAGGGGAACATTCTACTGAAGCAACACCCTTTCGAAGTAGCATGTCTTCAGAGGTAGCTTGTGCATTTATATAGCTATAGAAAGGGGAATAGCATGCAGAGGGAGCCTGCCCATACTGTATGATATGTTGGTTAGACCACACCTGGAATAATTTGCCAGCACTGGTGACTGACACACAAGACAAGCAGTGAAGCCCAGGAGCAGTACAGAAATGAGCCATATGACCATATCCCAGCTTTGGGAAGGGGTGGTATGAACGAGTGGATAGAAATCTGATCTTACAGAAGTACATAGTAAAGTAAATGGTATGGAAAAGATTGATGTTGAAAGTTATTTCAAATTGGGAGAACAGGACTAAGAGTCACAGGTGCAATCTAGTTGGGGCTGAATTAGCTCAGTTGCCTAGACAGCTGGTTTACAACACAATGTAACACTAATAGCATGAGTTCAATTCCCATAGGAGCTGAGATCACCATGAAGGTCCCGCCTTCCTAACCTTGCCCCTTGTCTGAGTCATGGTGTCCCTAATATTAAACTTACCACCAGGTATCCCTCTCTAATGAGGGACTATGGTGACTTTACCTTTTGGTAAAAGCCAAATTTGAGAATGTTGCTTGGAAGATCTTTATGAAGCAAACTGTGATGAAAGCACTTGGAAAAGTGGAGACAAAAACCCAGGAATGGATTAAGAAACAATTAGACTTTAGGGCGGAGGAACAATTGGGTTTCCTGGAAGCGTAAACTAAGATGCAATTTGGAATAAGCAGTTGAAATCTTTTCTATGATGAATAATGGATTGAACATAATATCTTGAAAACCATATATCTAAATCTTTATGTTAATAGGATCCTTAGCTATAGACTTTTTCAATTTGCTTTCTACATTAGTAACGTTTCAGGAAACAGTAGCATATCAGACCAATGCAACTTAACTCTGTTCAAAAGTTGTATGAATTCTACCTGACTTGGCCTAAAGCAAACTCCTCTTTTGACAAATACATGTACATTGCAATTGTATTTCGGTGGTTGATGGCACACTGGCAACATTGATGAGTCATGGCCCACCCAGCAAAACTATTGTGGCATATGTCTCCAATATTACCGCTGATTCTATTGGTAAGAGAAGCCCAAAGCAGCTTGTCATCGATTTCCCCCATGTGGAAGAATAGCTACTGGTGAGTTACACAGCTTGAATATTTTGCTAAAATGCTTCAGATATATTTATTGTGCTATATCAGTTGGATTGGAAGGAGTTCAAACTGAGCATTGTCTGAATTAGAAATCAGTATCTGAATAGACTTATTCCCAACTTTCTCAACTCTGCATTTCACTGAAGTCCTCTTTCTAGCAGCTGTCTTCTAGAACTGCAACAGCTGCTCATTTAACATCAAAGTATCATGGCAGTAAGAGAGAGTTTTAATGTTTTTTAATTTTCATGGAAGTTGCTATTAGAATATCATCCAAATCTAGTCTGAATGAGGAAAAAGACCATATCTTGCATTTATATGGTGCCTTTCATTGACATCACACAGCACTTTACACCCAATTAAATACTTCTGACGTACCGTTCCTGTTGTAATTTAGAAAACGTAGCTGCCAATTTACGCACAGCAAGCTCACACAAACAGCAATGGGATAATGCTAACATAATCTATTTTCATGATGTTGATTGTGGAACACATATTGGTCAGGAAACTGAGAATAACCCCCAATCCTACTGCAAATAGTCCCAGGCAGCTTTTCATCCATGTGAAAGTATAGAGGGGATGTGAGTTTAATGTGTCATCTGAAAGATGAGACCCATGATTGTGCAGCATTCTTTCACTTCTACTCTGGAGGATCAATCCTGATTCTTATGCTCAAGTGGGACACAAAATCACAACTTTCTGATTCACAGTGGGAATGCTATCACTGTGCCACATCTCAAGCAGCATGAAGACCAGAATTTCACCTGATCTAGAGTATTTGACATTATTCTAAATGCACCATGGAATAGAAGTTTTAAAACAATAAAAAGCCACTTACTTAGCTTTTTTGCTGTCACATTTCTCCAGTTCACTAAGCTGTCCAAGAGATGAAAGAACAGTGGAAAGATGTTTGCGTTTTCTTGGTCGCCCTGGTCCTCTTCTTGCTGGGCTTCTTGAGTTTTCATCTCTCCTATAAACCGGGATGCAAATAAAGCTATCAACTCTTGTCATTGCCAGAATTTCACCTTGCATTTTCATCTATGTGTCTCTTCATAATTCCCTTTTACAGACTATTGCCAACAGTCAAACATCCTCCAACTAGTAGGTGAGACTGTCTGGGCCATGACGTTTTCCACCAGTGTAAATGATGTGGCACTGTGATTGGCTAGGAAAAGGATTTATTTAATCAGTTGAGTTGAATTGTGTCAACTTTTCTCACCATGATATGAAGTATCTCATTGGATTGTTGTGTTTTAGCTGGTTGCTCACAGGAAATCTGAAGAAATTTTCCCAACCAAAGCAGGCAAGTTAAGAAGGAAACATTGTCCTTGAATCGAACAAGTCCTGAACTACCTGGGAAGTCTGCCATAAGGTACACTTTGACAGGCACAAGATAATACCTTTATCACAATCCTTTTCTCCCTGACTGCAATCCAAAACTCCAATTTAATTTGATAATATTCACATTTCGAGTACATTTTCTGCTTCAAGGGCAATCATCTCAAGAAATATAACCAGCAGATAAAGAAAAAAGTCACAGACTTTGACGTCATACAATGAGCCAGCAATTTTCCACTAACATTATACCACAACTGATCACAAACATTCAAATTACGACAAGGCGAAATGCACCCATCCCCAAGAGTAGGAAGGTCATTGGCAATTTTAGTAACAATCCCAAAATGCTTATCACAAAATACGATGAAATGTCAATTTTCTGTAATTATTATTAGACAGGCTATGACAAAAAGAAAATAACATAACATGGCCGAATGTCATTCTCTAAAAGAACTGGTCAAGCAATAACAACTGCAGCGATATAGTTTCACACATAAAGTATGGTCACCTGGGGCAGGGTACTGGAACATGATCAGTGTCTATAGAACCACAGTCCAGCCCATGGAGGATATGCTGTCATGTAAGGGGGTGGGGGGAAAACTCGGGAGAACTACTAACTTTTAGGATAAAATTGGGATAGAACGCTGAGTGTCTATGTTGGTGTCAGAATTGATTGGGACTGTCTGACATTGTTGTATGTTACTATGGTGCGAGAGTACTCTCGAGTTTTCCCCCCACCCCCTTACATGACAGCATATCCTTCATGGGCATTAGAAATCTCTGGGTGTCATGGATTTTTTTCTACATGAACATGCTGTCAAAGATCTGACCTGGCTGGCATGGGATGTTCGCATTTAGAATAATGATCAGAAGACAGATTCCTGGCTCAGCGACCTCGCCCTATTGCTCTGCCACACTAGGCAAATTTGTAATAACTCACTGCCACTACCAGAAATCAGCTCATTCAACACTACTTTTGGATCTGCTCGATGTGATGGTCTCTGCATCATGCAACCACTCCCTGAATTGGAGCTTCCTTAGCAAGAATGCTGGAATATTCCATAAACGACTTGATAAAAGTCGATGGAGAGGGATAGGAGCAGACGGTATGGGAAAGTATTTAATTTGGGGAGGGGGAATTACAATGCTATTAGGCAAGAACTATGGGGCACCAATTGGGATCAGATGTTCTAAGGGAAATGCATGATAGAAATGTGGAGGTTGTTTAGGGAGTAGTTGCTACTGGTACTGGATAGGTTTGTCCCACTGAGGCAAGGAAAGGATGGTAAGGTGAAGGAACCTTGGATGACAAGACATGTTGAACACCTAGTCAAGAGGAAGAAGAAAGCTTACTTAAGGTTGAGGAAGCAAGGATCGGACAGGGCTCTAGAGGTCTACAAGGAAGCCAAGAAGGAACTGAAGAATGGACTTAGGAGAGCTAGAAGTGGGTATGAGAGAACCTTGGCGGGTAGGATCAAGGAAAACCCCAAGGCTTTCTATACTTATGTGAGGAACAAGAGGATAGCCAGAGTGAGGGTAAGGCCAATCAGGGATAGTGGAGGGAACTGGTGTGTGGAGTCAGAGGAGGTAGGTAAGGTCTTTAATGAACTTTGCTTCAGTATTCACCAGTGAGATGGACCTTGACGTTTATGAGGACAGCATGAAACAGGTAGATATGCTCGAACAGGTTGTTGTTAGGGAGCAGGATGTGCTGGAAATTTTGCAAAACATGAGGACAGATAAGTCCCCTGGGCCAGACGGGATATACCCAAGGTTATTACGGGAAGCCAGGGAAGAGATTGCTGCCCTTTGGCAATGATCTTTGCGTCCTCACTGTGCACTGGAGTAGTACCAAAAGAATGGAAGGTGATAAATGTCATTCCCTTGTTCAAGAAAAGAAATAGGGATAATCCTGGAAATTACAGACCAGTCAGTCTTACTTCTGTGGTGGGCAAATTATTGGAAAGGATTCTGAGAGATAGTATTTATGATTATTTGGAAAAGCATAGTTTGATTAGAAATAGTCAACATGGCTTTGTGAGGGGCAGGTCATACCTCACAAGCTTTATTGAGTTCTTTGAAGATGTGACAAAACACATCGATGAAGGTAGAGCAGTGGATGTGGTGTATATGGATTTTAGCAAGGCATTCAATGAGGTTCCACATGGTAGGCTCATTCAGAAAGTATGAAGGCATGGGATTCAGGGAACTTTGGCTGTCTGGATACAAAACTGGCTGTCCAATAGAAGACAGAGGGTGGTAGTAGATGGAAAGTATTCAGCCTGGAGCTCAGTGACCAGTGATGTTCCACAGGGATTTGTTATGGGACCTCTTCTCTTTGTGATCTTTATAAATGACCTGGATGAGGGGGTGGAAGGGTGGGTTAGTAAGTTTGCCAATGACACGAAGGTTGGTGGAGTTGTGGACAGCATGGAGGGCTGTTGTAGGTTGCCACGGGACATTGACAGGATGCAGAGCTGGGCAAAGAAGTGGCAGATGGAATTCAACCCAGAAAAGTGTGAAGTGATTCATTTTGGAAGGTCGAATTTGAATGCAGAATACAGGGTTAATGGCAGGATTCTTGGCAGTGTGGAGGAACAGAGGGATCTTGGGGTCCACGTCCACAGATCCCTCAAAGTTGCGACCCAAGTTGATAGGAGGCGTATGGTGTGTTGGCTTTCATTGGCAGGGGGATTGAGTTTAAGAGCTACGAGGTTATGCTACAGCTCTATAAAACTCTGGCTAGACCACACTTGGAATATGCTGTTCAGTTCTGGTCATCTCATTACAGGAAAGATGTGGAAGCTTTAGAGAGGGTGCAGAGGAGATTTACCAGGATGCTGCCTGGACTGGAGGGCAGATCTTACGGGGAAAGGTTGAGGGAGCTAAGGCATTTTTCATTAGAGTAAAGAAGGATGAGAGGTGACTTGACAGAGGTTTATAAGATGATGAGAGGCATAGATAGAGTGGATAGTCAGAGACTTTTTCCCATGATGGAAATGACTATTACGCGGGGGCATAATTTTAAGGTGATTGGAGAACGGTATAGGGGAGATGTCAGAGGTAGGTTCTTCACACAGAGAATGGTGGGCGTGTGGAATGCGCTGCCGGCAGTGGTAGTGGACTCAGATACTTTAGAGACTTTTAAGCGGCTGTTGGATAGGCACATGGAGGATAGTAAAATGTAGGGTATGCCGGGTAGACTGATCTTAGCAGGATAATAGGTTGGCACAACATCGTGGGCCGAAGTACTATGCTGTACTGTTCTATATTCTATGTTCTAAGTTCCAAGAACAGCAGCATTTCTATTAAACACTTTTTATAAAGCCACGATATGACATTGTGTTTCGTACATTTCTAGCAAAGATTGCATATTTCTCACAGTTTATTTGATGTGGCTGCTTTGATAATTCCACCCTATTGCTTTCAACGTTTTTATGCTTAAGCGGCCCTGCATTCCACACTCTCAGCATACTCTTGTACGTTTATGTGAGGGTGAATGAGTTGTACTTGTTGGATCAGAGCCTTAGTTATACTGTTGTTGTAGACTGAGCCATGACACACATAACTCAGCACAATGCAAATACACCTGCTACTGGCCGTTCACTGAGTGAAGTAATGTAGGAGCCAGTGGTGCAGCCTATTCAAGTGTCCAGAATGGGAGTAACAAGAAAGGAACATAGGAGTGTAGTGGGTGAGGACAGAAAGTCAACTAGTTTGAAGAAGTGAAGTTGGGAAGATAAAACTTGAGTTAATGATGGGAGAGTACTGTTCAGTGAACAAATCTGATCGGAATTGTATCTTACTCTTAGAAATACTGCATCAAAACACTGAAAGCATGGAAAACTATTTGCCTGTAACAATTTTTTGTACTGTTTATGTAAATGATTTGGATGTGAACATAGGAGGCATGGTTATTAAGTTTGCTGATGATACCAAAATTGGAGGTGTAGTGGACAGCAAAGAAGGTTACCTCAAAGTACAACAGGATCTTGATCAGATGGGCCAAAGAGCGGCAATTGGAGTTTAATTTAGATAAATGTGAGGTGCTGCATTTTGGAAAGGCAAATCAGGGCAAATTATACACTTAATGGTAAAGTCCTAGGGAGTGTTGTTGAACAAAGAGACTTTGGAGTGCAGGTTCATAGTTCCTTGAAAGTGGAGAAGACATTTGGTATGCTTGCCTTTATTGGTCAGTGCATTGAGTAGAGGAGTTGGTCATGTTGCAGCTGCAAAGAACATTGGTTAGGCCACTATTGGAATACTACATGCAATTCTCATCTCCATGCTATAGGAAGGATATTGTGAAAGTTGAAAGGGTTTAGAAAAGATTTACAAGGATGTATCCAGGGCTGGAAGGTTTGAGCTGTAGGGATGGGCTGAATAGGCTGAGGCTATTTTACCTGGAGCATTGGAGGCAGAGAAGTGACCTTATAGAAGTTTATAAAATCATAAGGGACATGGATATGGTAAATGGATAAGGTTTTTTCCCTGGGATGGGGGAATCCAAACCTGGATTTAAAGTGAGAGGGGAAAGATTTAAAAGGGACCTGAGAGGTAACTTTTTCAGGTAGAGGGTTCTGCATGTATGGAATGAGCTGCCAGAGGAAGTGATGGAGGCTGGTACAATTACATCATTTAAAAGGCATCTGGATGGGTATATAAATAAGAAGGTTTTAGAGGGATATGGGCCAAATGCTGGCAACTCGGACTAGATTTATATAGGATATCTGGTTGGCATGGATGAGTTGGACCGAAGGGTCTGTTTCCCTTCTCTATGGCTTCACATCTCCATGACTCTATCAGAACTGTGTTGCTGACTCCAGCTCTATCACATCTTTAAAGGGGTGATAAGAGATGGTACCCACTCATGATCATGTCTTCTTTGAAGTTTGGCCAGTTCTCGTTGCTTTTCCTTGTAGCGACGTTGTAGTTCAGCTAGTTTCATTCTCATTTCCAGCTCCTGTGTATCCATTCCATCAATTGCAACCTTTAGAGGACAAACCTTGATCACAAAGAATCAATATAAAATAATCAACCATACTGTAGAAGAGTTATCCTAGCAATTTATAACCATTTATGGTCATTATTGGTATGCTATTCCATGAATTGGGAGCACCCAATGCACATTCAATATATGGAAACAAATGTCATCACATCCCTCTGACGTTCCCTCTTATTCATTTCTTAATCCAATTTTAAAAATATCCTCAATAAATGTCCCACGTTAGTCATGAAGTTAACATGAAAAAAGTAAATAAATTACAGTTATACTGCTCTAGGCTAAATCCTCTCTTCATAGTTGTGTAACTTGACTGTGAAGCTAGACATGGATTAGTATTTCACTCAATTGTCCTAAAAATGTGATATGTCAGCTGACAGAATTTGGATGCTCTCTTTGGACCATTTCTTTACTTTAAGCTCCAGCTATATTCAAATCAAAAATTGGGCAAGCGGCCAAAGTCCCGACTTTCCAATACAACAAGCATTTGTGAGGGTCACCACTGCATGTCAATCCTTGGGAAAAATTAGCACAGGGTTTGTTGAACTTGGTACCTTCTGCAGCGCGATGGTCTGAGCTCATGCCGAAAAAGTTAGATGAGTGACACTCCTGAGGTCCAACAACGCTTTGGAACCTTAGAGAGTTCTACCCTTCATGTGCTATTTTCCGGGAGAGCAGAGTGTAACACAGTGAAACGGAGAACAAATTTTACCAACTCCAAAAATTAACTCACCGTCTCTGCCTTTGGACTCCATGAGTACTTCCTCCGTAAATTCAGCACCCTTGGGATCCGCACTACATAAGATCTGCTTGACCCCAGGTCAGTTTGGGGGTCACCCATTTCAAGTGGTACTGCCTCCACCAATGAACGGGCAGCAGCAATAGTTGCGAGGCTTTGGAGGTCATGAGTAAGTACAGCCTCATCCTCCCCTGTGTACAAAAAACATTTCCATATTTCATTAGCACTGATGCATTGTATCGTGCACTATCTTTCACTGCTCTCCAGTTCTAACTTTAGCTCTCTCTCTCAAAATGCATAAAAGCAGAACCAGTCACAAAGTTTCATGTGCACACATATTCACCATCACTCTCTTTTACTGCCTAATTACTTAGAGTAGTTCCTTCCTAATTCCTTTTAATTTATACCAGTTTTTCCGTTGACTTATTTTTGCAGTTTATTCTTTTCCCATTGCCATTGATTAGGAAACTGCAGGAAGCTGAATAAATATTCAGAGGGAAAAGCTATTTCGGAAAATTAATGGACAACCTGAAAAGAATCAAAGGCAAATATAGTTTTTTGGAATTCAAAGCTATGTCTGTGGGCAAGAAAATGTCATAACATAATGGAAGGCTGCAGTATCGTTAATCTATTATGTGATCATTTCCAGATCAATTTTAAAATCAGGTCACAACATTTTTGCTTGTAGCCTACACTATGCAACCCCAGCATCTTCAGTATTCTCCATCCGAGTCCTTAGCCTCAAGCACACTCTTTCACCTATTTCGTAACTTGGCCATGCTTCATCAGACACCAGCAACATGCAAAACACCAGAGCAGCCAAATGGATAACTCCAAGATTAGGCACAGAGATTGTGATGTGCAATTAACCCATGTATATTCAAGTGATTGCAGGCAGCACATCTAGTTTGTGCTGCCTATTCAATTGAGTTACTACTGTACGAATTAGCAGGTGCCTAAAATTATAACTTCCAGTGCTACATAAAGTTAACTTGTATTCTCTCAAGGCAAGATGCATTGTGGCTAAGCCAGATACGGGCAGTCATGCAGGATGTGAACTGGCGCAGGGAAATGATGAAGAATGGCACAACATGAAGAAGCTGGTAAGTAGGAGGTGTCATGTATCTGTACACAAGAGACCCTGTTGTGCTTGTGCTCAAAACGCAGTGGGAGCAGGAAGGAGAGCAGTTAACCGTGGGAATGAATACCAGCAGCCAAACTCTGACTGACCTGGATACGGTGGTATCAAAAGTTTAATAACCTTGCACAAGTGGTCAAGGTCTTCCAATGCTATTGCTTACCAACTGTTCCACTTACCTCAGGAACTGCTAAATCACCACACCACATTTTCAGCATGGGCCTGGAGCGTCCTCGGTCTATAACTCTCATCTATAATCTCTATCAATCAGTACTCGTACGTAATATTCATATATTTAACCACATCTTCATATACTTAACATCGCTGCAAACACATAATCTCCAAGCTGTACACGCTGCCAGCTATTCAAACGTGACATCCATGTCATCTAAATACATTGAGCGACTCTCACTCACTCATTTCTTTCTCTCTCTTGCAGGTCAAGATAATACACAACCAAAGAAAACAGCAATTTTAATGGGACATATGCACCTTCAATTCCATTGAAGGAGATGGTGTTGGTCAATACTGGAACACCCATTGCTGAGGCCATGGTCAGTGGCAGGGCTGAATCCATTGAAGATGATGGTAACCTCATACCTAATTGTTCTTCTCACATCCTACCCTCATGCTCATCCCACACTCATAGAAACATAGGAAATAACAGTAGTAGGCCATTCAGCCCTTCGAGTCTGTTCCACCATTTAATATGATCATGAATGATCATCCAATTCCCACTGTCACTCATCCGTTTAGCCCTAAGAATTATATCTGACTTCTTCTTCTTGATGTTTTGATCTCAACCACTTTCTACGGCAGAGAATTCTGCAGGCTCACCATTTTCTCGGTGAAGCAATTCTTCCTCATCTCAGTCCTAAATGGCCTACCCTTTCCTTAGACTGTGACCTGGGTTCTGGACTTCCTGGTTATTGGGAACATCCTTCCTGCATTTACCCTGTCTGGTGCTGTTAGAATTTTATAGGTTTCTATGAGGTCTCTACTCACCCTTCTAAACAGCCATGAATATAGTCCTAACTGATCTTGTCTGTCTTCATGTTCTTTGGGCAGAGCTTGGGGCTCACCATTTCTACGATGGAACTGGGGACCAACTCCATTTGCACACTTAAGGGTCCACCCACAATGCAGAGGCTGGTGACTAATGTTGCAACACAGCATCAGCCAGTAAACATCGGAGTGCTGAGCTTCCTATGTGTCACAACGATGTAACAATCTCCCCACCACCACCCACCCCACCTCGGGTGACTAGGATTGCTGAGGTACTGCCCTGAGGTGTGGGAGAGGCAATAACTCTGAGGAGCCTGCTGTCCTCTACTCTCTCAGGATGACAACATTCATTACAGCCCCAGATGACTGTTGCCCAGGCTGAGAGAGTGCAGTCCTTATACAGGCCGTCTAGGTCCAGAGCTACTCAAGGTCATCCTCTAGAGGACCATCCATTCTCCCCCAGAGACAGTCAGCAGCCTCCCACTTGCTGTGCTGCAGTTACTGAGACAGCACTGCTGCATATAGAGACAGACAAAGAAGACAGTAACTAAGGGACTGCACAGGAATGATTAGTTAAGATTTACATAAAATATTACATTATTTCAGTTAGAAATCTGTTTTAGAACATTTACTTTGTGGCAACCTTTAATTCTGCTCTCTGCCCAAATGAATGACAGTGGGAATGGAAGTGTGGAACCATTGGTGAATGGGTTATTCAGGTTGACGTTGCTGATTTCACACTTTGCTAAGTTTTTCATGGACATCTGGCCCAGAAAGAATTTCTCTAAGCTTTCTTCTGCCAGGCTAGCCAGATCAAAAGCTCCAGAATGAAACGAACAGTATAATTAAGAGCCAACTCCTTCCATGTCAGTAAGTGAATCTTCCGTATCTACCCTGAAGTATAGGCTCATTGCCTGATAGGGCCTAGAAGGAGCAGGAAGGTCCATTCCTTTCATCCAATTATATTTGGATGGTCATCAGTGGCCAGAATCACCCAATTTCATATCATATCTTGCAGGTAGAGTTGTTAAACCAATAAAAGACAATAACTGTCTGTTCTTGTTTCGAATCAACCTGTTCAGAGAGATTATTATACAACCCAGGAGCAGATGGGACTTGAACCCAGACCTCTTGGTGCAGTTCTGAGGAAGGGTCACCAGACCCAAAATGTTAACGCTGATTTTTCTTCATGGATGCTGCCAGATCTGCTGAGTTTTTCCAGCAACTTCTGTTTTTGCTCTAGGGACACTACCACTGCACCATTAGAGTCTCTAGCCAGCCCATGCACCATATTTCATTGGGCATCATTGAACAGTCTGCCAGTAAAATGAGGTGGGAATTTGGGATTCAGGGAGAAACCTGAATGCAATCTTTGAGAATCAGTGACCAGGTGAAATGGAGGTGCGTTCCACTGTCCTGATCTTGGTTCCCAAGTCATGGAAATTCTACAGGGGCAAAGGTCAGGAAAATCTAACTACAGTACTTTTATTTTCAGTGTATATGTAGAAAACATTTCCAACCCAGTTACAAGTTCAGATTGAAAAACTGCCAAACTATCCAACACAAACATTATTCCCAGGAGAAGGTGTTCAAGGCAGTCACAGACCAAAGTAACAGTTTGTTTAATATGTGAGAAGGCAAGAAAGGCCTTGGTTTAATGTCTCCTCCAGAAGACAGCACTTCTGAAAGTGCAGCACATTCCTGGTAAGAGCCAGGATGACATGTTCACATCACTTGAATGGGATTTGAATTTACAATCATCTGACTCATGTGAGATAAGAGTGCTACCACTGATCCCAGGCTGACACATGACTGCAGGAATGTTAGAAAATTTGGATCTTTCAAAATACACACATTAAGAGTAATATTGGCCCACTTCTCTGGAATGAAACTGTGGTCGTCCTCCAAGAGTTAAAATCCAATTTCAGGAAAATGCTGGTGTAGGTATTCAAAATGAGCGATGACTAAAAATAGACAAATTATGTCAACTCATCTTAAACAAGACAAACACATGATGTCATAGAGCACTGAAACACAATGCCTGGTCTCCAATTCTTTGGTTATCCTATAGGAATGACCTCACCTTTTTTCCCAAAGAAGAATCACTAATGCATTCAATACGTCCTAAGATACTTCAGGAACAGTCAATCATTTTGGCCAGAAATGATCAATTGTGCTGATAAAAGTTTTTATTGATTAAAAAATGTAATGAGACTCCATGGATTCAATAATTTGATATCCTGTGTGTACGTGTATGTTGAGATTTATATTCTGCAACCCAGCAAGTGTGAGTAACAGAAAACTCAAATGATTTTGCCTGGGAATGTGAATTGTAATGAAATAATCGATGCTCATAATGGATACATATTATATGATCAAATCTGTGTGAGGCTAGGTATGTACTGTTTGTGTTTATATGTGTTGCTAACTACATCTTACATATGTGTATATATGTTAGCCTAGATTTTCTTGCAATAGTGAAAACAGTGGGATACACTAAACTTTGCTAATGGTCCAATCTCTTCCTTTATAATCTATTCCACATTTTCCTGCATTTCTATTTGGAATATGCTGCAGCACTGATAGTGGAAAAACCAGAAACCACCCTAGCAATAGTCATACAATAGTGACAATGCTCACAGATTGTCGAAGCTGCCTTAGTCACTTTCCTGTCCATTTCAAATGATGTAATTAAAGAGAGAGTGATAGCTTGGTGTGAACAATATGCTACGAAGAGAAACTGCATTGATCAAACAAAGCCTCTTAGTATCTAAAAGGTATAATGTTTTTACCTTAATTTATTTTAAACGTGCCACACAAGGTGTGACTCTAATAACTGCAAGCTACTTATGTTAATACGCAATACCATTCCCAATATCACATCTTTGATATGAACGAAGCCTTCCCTGTGTGTTACTAAGCACATATGGAAGCTAAATCTTTGTTGGTTCATGGAAAATCCTTCACATAACAACTGTAAGGTGTCCATTTTGGTGAACATGGTGTTGGTGATACCTGTCTCTTTCAGCTACCCCACTGACCCACCTG